GGATGGGCCCCGGGGGCTGCGCCTACCCAGGTCGGACGGGGCTGGAGTCCGGGACCCCCACCCGCTCGACCTAAGACTCCCCCGCCCGGCTCCTGCCGTGGCAGCAAAGTGGCAGAGTCCCCGGCTCCCGGCCTCCACCCCCGCATGTCTCGCTGCCTTTTCTCTCTCCCCGCTCGCCCCTGGACAGTATTAAAGCACTTAATCCACTCAGCGGGTCCTTGAGCTTGGCTGCCAGGCAGCTGAGAGCTGTCAGCTTCATTAGGTGCTTTGATGAGCTGAAGTGCCTGGATCGCACACGTGGCGGCCGTGCCGGCGCACCTTTGCACCGGGCTCGGGGCTGCAGCGGGAGGGGTTGGGGGTTGGGGGGGTTAGGCCTGGGAGAGCCCATCTCCCTGCCGGGAAGATGAGCCACACACCTATGCACAGGCCGGCTGTGAGTGCGAGACTCGCCGTCCCCGCGCCGTGCAGAGGAAGGGACGGGGCTGGGACCCGGAATAGCCCCGAGGCATCCGTGGTGCCATCCTCGGCCTGGGTCCTGCGCACCGCTCCCTTGGCAGCAGCTGGGCTTACCCGGCTCTCTGTACAGAGAAGGCCCAGGGAGGGTCAAGCCTTCCCCAGCCCCTGCTCGAGGCCAAGTCACCTCCGTGCAGACAGGCTGGTCACTTTGTGCCGTCCAGGGGACGTCAGGGCAAGATCACGTCCGGCACGGGCAGCTCTTGGGATGGCTCAGGCGTGACCCATCCAGCAGGCAGAGAGGGAAGGCAGGGGCTGGGGGCGACTCGGTGCCGCGCGGGGTCGGCAGCACGCCCGGGAGGCTGAGCCAGGCCGAGCTGGAACCACGGAAAAAGCCAGCGGCAGCTGTGTTAGGAGGAATACGGCTCGGCTGCTGAAGTCTATATTTGGGAGGTTTCTAGCGCCTGCAATGAATGAATTGTGACAGCTGAGCTGGTATAAAAGGAGACAGCAGGTCTCGGGCACCTCATTCCCAGCCCGGAGCCAGCCGCGCAGGCCGGGAGCTGGGACCTGCCTGCTGGGGGACACTGCCTCCCCACGGGGCTCCCGGGGACCGTCCAGCCACAGGTAGGCACGGCGGGCAGGGGCGTCCGCGCTGATCGGGGCAGGGGGAGCCAGGGGCAGGGAGTTTGCACCCTCGAGAGAGAAGGACCGGAGCCAAGTGCCAGTGTCGTAGGCAGGCAGGATATTTCTCCTTCGCTGCATCCGGATGGGGGGGGGGCACCCACGGGCGGTGCCCCGCCGGGCTCCTGGCCCGAGGCTGGCAGAGTTCCCGTCCTGCTCCCCACAACTCCCGTCCTCGGTCCCCACGGTGAAGTTGGCCGGAGATCAGCGCTGCTGGGGGAAGCCGCGGCCCAGGCGCCAGCTGGAAAGCCCACCCGGCAGAGCCAGCCACAGGTGCCCAGTGACAAACTTCGTGCCGGTTCTGGAAAACAGGGGCTGTGCGTGCCAAGGGGGTACCCCAGGCTCTGGGGGGCCGACCCCTGATCCCCCATGGGGCCCTGTAGGGAGAGGCTAGCCAGGTACCTCCAGTTAACCCTTCCACTGCTGGCCACCCAGAGGCTGGCATCTCTCCTCCGATGCTCCCAAAACACCCGTGCAAGGACTTGCCACCTGGCTGTCCCCGGAGAGGATAGGCCAGGGTGTCCCAGGGGGAACCAGAGGGGCACAACAGGTGCCCAAGGGCAGGGACCTGGCTGGCAGCGCAGCCCTTCAGGTGCTCTGTGCTCGGGGTCACCTCCAGCATCCAAGGACCGCGGGGCAATGCCTGGTTGGGTGCAAGGGCAGAGGGGCAGCAGAGCCCACCCCGCGCCCCTTCGCCAGCCCCGAGCTGCTCTGCAGTGGCTGCTTCCCCTCCTCTCCCCGCCCGCAGTACGGATTTGTGCAGGGGCTGGTGGGACTGGAGGCATCCCTGGGCTCCGGCTCCTGGGAGAGAAGTTAAACAAGGCAGGAGGTCTGGCTTCCCCCAGGCACTTGGAGCTGCAGGGCTGGGCAGGGCAGGGCACTGCTGCCAAAGCCAGGTCGCAGCAAGGGGGGCCAGCGGGGACCCCCATCGCCCCCTAGACCTGCACAGACCCTGCCGCCTTTGCTGACTGCGCAGCCCAGGAGGATCGGAGTAAACCAAAGCCGACCCCCTTGCCCCCCAGCCTGGCCCTTGCAGGGCTGAGCCGGTGACTCGGCCGAGCTGCGTGCGCCTGCCTCCCCAGCCCACGGCCGACACGAGTCTTCCGGTCTCAGCCCAGACGGCGATGGGCTGCAGTCGGCGGGGCGGGGAGGGGGCGCATAGCGCCACTGGGGTGAGCTCGGGTAGACCCTCAGCCCCCCGCGGACCACGGGGGCGGCTGTCGCCTGAGCTGGGGGAGCAGCCGGGCGGGGAGGTGGTGTCATCTCCTCGTGCCGGACAGCTGCACCTCCCACGCGCTGACCCCCAGGACAGGGCTGGGCTCCTCGTGCTCCAGGCTGGCCAGGTGCCCCGTGGGAAGGGCCCGATCCTTGCCGCCCCCCCCAGTCAGGTTGGGGCCCCGATCCGGCCGTGGCCGCGACTGCCGCGGATGAAGCCCTGCCCTGTCCTTGTTTATCTTGCAGAGGGGGAGCGCCGGGTGCCCGCGGCCCCCGCCCCGTCCCCTGCGCCCGCAGCATGTGGCTCTTTGAGCGGATCCGCGGCTCGGTGGAGAACGGGGCGGCCCGGGCGGGTGAGGCGGGGGACAAGCAGGCCAAGGGCCCCCTGTACAGCAACGTGCTGACCCCCGACAAGATCCCCGACTTCTTCATCCCACCCAAGCTGGCCACGGTGCCGCCCGAGGCCGAGGGGACGGAGGCCAAGGCCAAGGCCAAGGCCAAGGCCGGGCTCAGCACCTCGGCCTCTGAGCAGAACCTGTCGGCCCGCAAGGCCCAGCGCAGCCCGCGGCTCCCGGCCAAGGCCGCCGCGGAGAGCAAGAGCCTGCTGAAGGCCGCCAGCCGGCACATCATCCAGATCGAGAGCGCCGACGAGTGGGCCGACGAGGAGGACTTCAGCACCAACGCCGACCCGCAAGCCCAGACGGCCATGTCCCTGCCCTACGTGCCCAAGGCGCAGACCTCCTACGGCTTCGCCACGCTCATGGAGAGCCCGCACACGCGGCGCAAGGAGTCGCTCTTCCACAGCGAGCACGGCAGCTTGTGCCAGGCGCAGACGACTTCCCCCAGCGCCCAGCGCCGGGCAGGGGGCAAGGTGAACGGGGACGGCGCCCACCTCGCCCCCTCCGACACGGGGGCGTCGCTCATGAACCCCTACCGCTACTTCAGCGGGGGCGAGAGCGACACCTGCTCCTCGGCCGAGTCCTCGCCCTTCGGCTCCCCGCTGCTGTCCCGCTCCGTGTCCCTGCTCAAGCTCTTCGGCCAGGAGAGCCAGGCCAAGGTGATCAAGCTCAAGCACTCGGTGGCTCGCAACAGCTCCCTCTCCACCGACGACAGCTCGGCCGACACCAGCCCCAGCTCCCAGCGCCGCCTGCGCTGCGCCACCCCCCCGACCCAGCCGCCGGCACCCCCCGAGTCCCCGGGGCCCGAGCGGCAGCAGAGGGAGCACACGCTGAGCCTGAGCAAGGGGGGCAGCCTGCGGCTGACGGCCGACTACGACGCGGCCCGGGCCCGGCTGCGGGTGCGGGTGATCGCGGCCGAGGAGCTGTACGACAAGCTGTGGGATGCCCGCAGCATCAACTGCTGCGTGGGGCTGCACCTGAACCCGGGCAAGCTGCAGAAGCAGCGCAGCACCATCATCAAGAACAGCCGCAACCCCGTCTTCAACGAGGACTTCTTCTTCGACGGCCTGGGCATCAGCGCGGCCCGCAAGATGTCCCTCAAGGTCAAGGTGGTCAACCGGGGGGGCAGCCTCAAGCGGGACACGCTGCTGGGCGAGAGGGAGCTGCCCCTCACCTCCCTGCTGCCCTTCTGATGAGCCTCGTGGCTGCCCCGTCCCGCCCTGCCAGCGCCCGGCGGGCATCAGATGCCTCCCCCGGGGGCGGGGGGGCATCCGATGCTTCCCGGGTCGGTCCCCTTGGCCGACGCGGAGCAGCCCCCTGCACCAGCCTCCTCGAGAGCGAGCGGCTGGCTTCTCTAGACGGGGTGGGCGAGGGGTGACGGGGAGGAGAGGAGAAAGGAGAGATTTGGGCCCCTTCCCTGCTCCCCAGACCCAGTGGCCTGCCTCGGGTTTGTCCTGGGCCAGCTGCTCCCTGGGGAATCAAACGGGCTGTGGGCGGGCGGCGTCGGAGGGCAGGTTCAGCCCCCGCGATGCAATGCAGATGCCCCGGGGCTGGGGCTGTGGAGGCACTTGTCTGGCTGTGAGCTGCGGCAATGGGAGGGGGCGATGCTCTAGGGGTGGGGGAGGCAATCGGTGCCCCTGCAGACCCCTTCTGCCTCATCTCTGCCCCCCCCCCGGGGGGCCGGAAGGGGGTGGGACTCACTGCTGGGCCCCTGCAGCATTTGCACTTGCCTGGAAAGCCCCGTGTCCTGGAGTCAGGGGACGACACAGCAGCTTTGGGCTCCAGCCTCTGCGGCTGCAGAGCGCATCTCGAGGTCCTGCTGCAGGGGCAGGGCCCCGGAGGCAAATCAAGGGCAGCCCAGACTGCTCCCTCGTGGGGTTTTAAGCCGACTTTGTGCTCTTTTCCGGCGGGGGTCCTGATCTGCGAATGCCGGGGAGGGGGTGGGAAGGGTGACAGGGCGGCCTCACCCCCCCCAGCTCCATGCCCAACCCAGAGGTCCCTGGGGATGGCTTTTCCCCTCCCAGACAACGTGCAATATCCCCGGGGAGCCCGATCCTGAACCAGGTGCGTCCCATCTCTCAGCAGCCTCTGAATCAGGCCCCTCAAAGCGCCTCGGGCCCGGGACCCCTGTCCTCAGGGTGCTGCGGCAAAGAGATCGCAGCCCTCCGGCGGGCACCTGCATCTCCTCTCCGCTC